TATTATTTCTTTCAATTCTGTACAATTCCTGACTTCAATCTCTTCAAGAGAATCACAAACCATTACCGCACTCCTGTTACAGATGCTCTTCAATGCGGGCAAGTCTCGCAATCTTAGAAGTTTTAATTTTGGAAGAATGAGCTTTTTGATGATGTCCCCTCCTTCTTCTGGATCTGATGCTATTATTTCTTCCAATTCTTCACAATTCCAGACATCAATCCGCTCAAGATTTTGGAGATACGCTAACAACTTCCAAGACGGGATCAACTTTTTTATTTTACCACAATCAAAAAGCAGAATATATTTAAGAGATGAAAAGGTGCTAGGTTGCGGTGGGAACCTAGCAATTGCTTCTGCTTCATATAGGCCTTCCAACTTGTCCAATCCATTAAGAATCAATTCCTCCAGGGTTTGGATGAGTGGGTTTATCCACGAGGAAAAAACACACTTCATGCCTTTACAATCTGCAATCCGGCATCTCCTCAAATCTATTGCATCTTTAATGGAAGAAAAATCATTTAAGGATCTTAAGTTGTCACAACGCTCAATTAATAATTCATTTACTGAATGTGGCAATATTATATTCTCTCCAACAATATCAATTCTATTGAATGTAATGTTCTTGAGAGATTTACCAGAAAGCAACCACTCAGACTCGTTTCCAACTATAACATAGTATCTACTGAGCCCATCTCCTTGACCATGAACACATTTCAAAAAGATGCTCCAGTCATCCACTGTAGGAAACCTGCCACCAAAAGCTTCCAGCTTCTTCAATCTCCCTATCACTTCCCCTCTTAATGCTGTTCTCTCATCTACAAATAATTGTTGTAGTTTTGAGAGATTTAATAATATTGCATCATCTAATATGCCACCATATCTTCTAAGACTAAGATATTTGAGATTTGTACACATTTCTAGGCCTTTAGGGACTTCTTTGATTTTTGTCCAACCAAGGTCTAACTTTTTTAAGGCTTCAAGCTCTGATAAAGATGGAACTTCTGTTAAGGATGTCCATTGCAACAAAAGTGTAGTGAGATTCACCAATTTGGAGATGGAATTTGGCAGGCCCTTCAGTTGTTGATTGTAGGAAAGATCAAGAATTTTGAGTCCAAGCAAATGCTCAAAGACAGATTCTGAAATTCTTGATAAATTATTGTGGGATAACAACAAAGTTGTGAGCATTGTGCATTTTGAAGATAGGATGCTTGAAGGAATTTCTTTTATCTCATTCCTGATTAATGAAACCTTTTCAAGATATTCTGTCCATTTTCCCTTCTCAGGTAGCTCTGTTAATGCCTTGCCAGCTTCTAGCATGAATCGAGGACTTGTTCTTGTAATTTGCAATGCCATGTCCCTAAGAAGATCATGCATCCTCACACAATTGCCTTCAAATCTATCTTCAATGGATTCCAACAAACAATTATCTACAAGTTTCCTCAATATATCATAGCCTTCATCCTTCATTGCTTGTAATGTCTCCATTTCATCTACCAGCCCCTCATCAATCCAATAATCAATTATGGAATTTATTGGGATATTGTGGTCCTCAGGATACAATGCACAACATAAAAAGCAATGCTGGATTTTTGGAATTTCCAAACGATCATAACTAAATTTTAATACCCCAAATGGATCAGCATCATTTGTACCTGCTACATTTCTTTTACAGTCTTTCAATTGATTCAATGCAACACTCCACGACCGTGGATTAGATTTTGTCTTCAAGCTACTAGCAACTGTAACAATTGCCAGGGGAAGGCCATCACATTCATCTACAATCCTCTTTAAAGTTGCTTCTAAAGTTCCCTTAATGCACCCTTGATCAGATAAAACAATATTTCCAACTTTATGCATAAATAATTGTAAAGCTTCCCTTTGTGCAAGAGTCGTCACTTTAATTATCTTACAGTCCATTGTATGAGCAACCTCTTGTGATCGTGTAGTCAATACCAGCTTGCAACCATCACTTACGAGCGGCTCAGGAATTCCAACATCTTCAAGTTCAAATCTACTCCACACATCATCTAGAATCAACAAGTAAGGCCTGTGTCTTTGTAGCACCTTTAATAACATTCCCGCACGTACACTTGTATTTTGTTGCTCTAGTATTTTTTTTTCCTCCAAGATGCTTGCAATTTGTTGTTGCAAATTGTAGATATCAAGGGTTTGTGACACATTTGCCCAAATTATTTTCTTGAATTTTCTTTCTTTTAACAACTCATTGTGGACATGCTTCATGATTGTTGTTTTTCCAACTCCCCCCATTCCCCAAACTCCAAGCCTTGTCACCTCATCTCCTGTCAAGAATGCCAAAATTTCTGCCTTGACTTCTTCTCTGCCTTGTAATTTTGTTGTTGGCAATTCCACTGCTGAAATAGATGGATCATCCTTGACCAAACAGTCATTAGTGTATTTATCCCCTCTGTCATATATTTCCTTCAATTCCTGAGCCCTTTCCTCCAGAATCTTTACTCGACAACAACATGAGAGACATCCTCGACTGTTCACTTCATCTTCAACCTCTTGTCTTGCAATAAAATTTTCCACATCACTCAACCATGTTTGCACTTCCTCCTTTGCAACTTTCCCATAGTGAAGCTCTGTATTCAATCTTGATTCAACGTCACGCTTTTGATTGCACAATCGCTCTTTCCTTACATTGAATTGTTCCAATTGATTCTTGAATGTTATCTGATATTTTAGGTACCTCACAATTGGACCACCAACAAACTTCACAAATTCAGTGATCGATCCTACCAAGTCCATAATGTAGTCACTGCATCATATTGTTTACAATTTAATATATTAGTCTTAAAGCCAGCAAAGCAAAGTGTAATATATATATATATATATATATATATCAAGCTTTTGAGAGGAAAATAATAAATAATAAAAAAATATACATAAACTAAAAATAATACCTGCAACTAGCTTGAGATTATTGTTTCTTCAATTCGAACGTTTTTGAGAAGGTTGAGAATGCAGGATGCAAAATATGTAGTAGATATTACCAAATGATACAATCTGCAAAATAGAATAAAAATCTCAATTCCATGTTTAGTCCAGTTACAATTTATTTGAAACATAAAATGAAGCTATTCCAAACAAAAATATTTCATTTTTCAAAAATGAAATCAAAATAAATTTATTTTCAGAAATGAAATTAACTCTTCTTTATTAAATTGTACTTCATAGCTAATAGACTAAAAATAATGTGAATTTGATTTGATTTTCAAACGACATGAAGGAAAGAGAGGTTGACTTTTGGAATGACTTACAATCCAAAGAAAATTTTGGCTATAAATACACAAAAATTTGGCAGGGACACAAAAAAAGAAGAAGTAACTACTAGATTTAGTTCTCAACCTTTACCATAAATACTAGATATTATGCAAATCTTTTATTTAGACAAAAAATAGTTCCTAACATTTTTAAAATTACTAACCCTAATTCCACTGTTAAGTTTTTAACAAAACTTGTAACTAAAATTTTGGGAGACCAATTGAAATTTTTACATAATTTTTCATTTAATGTTCATTGCACTAAACTTATTTTTATTAAATTTTGGATTCTTCAAGAACCTTCAGTTTACTCCTAAGTGAACTCGATTTGGTGTCTTTTGGGTTAGAGTTTTTTAAAGAAACCCTTCCTTACGATGGACGAGCATATTTTGGTGGTATTTCATGGAGGAGGTATTGCTTTTGATTAAATGAATTTGAGCACCATATTGTTTTTGGACATGCACCTTATTAGTTGGGTTAAACACCCAATTTGGTATCTTAACTATTGCATAAACTCTTAAGTTAATCTCTAAACTAAAAAAATCCTAGATTTGATCCCTACAGTTTTCAAATTTGGCCCAAAATCGATCTTTTTATTAGAAAACAGTTAACGTATTGGTTACTTAACGGTAAGAAACCATCATTTAACAATCACGTGTTATGCTAATAATGAAATACATCAATTGTTTTTATACAAAAGGATCAACTTAGAGCTAAATTTAAAAACTTTAGGGACTGAAGGGATTTTTTTAATTCAGTTACCAACTCAGAGGTCTGTATAAAAATTGAAGAATCAGATTGGGGGTTCTACCTATTAACTACTCTAGGCTTTTATTAAAAATGTTTAGGAAATTCTTTTTTTTTTTTTTCTACTTTACACATCAAAGTTTATGTATATATATTATAAGTTGCAATCCTATGATTTGAGATTAATTTTTATTTTGTATTTTTTATCTACATTATAAGCTAGGAATTTGAATGATAAATATATTCCAATGGAAAAATAATTGGAATATAAAATGTATAATATTGTTACACTTTTAAATTATTTTAATAATAATTGAGAAAAAAATTTTAGAACTGATCAGTTCATGAAAATAGAGGCTTCGTGTTAAGTAGAATAAAAAAAAAGAAACATAATATTTAGAGTTTTTCAAAAGTTAAGAAAATAGAGTTAAGCAATGTTAAAATATATATACATGTTTAGTTTTAGAAAAAAGAATGGTTTAGGGCGTGTTTTATATTTTTTTTCCTTTTTTCTTTCTCTATTTAAGGATCTTAGTATAGCTCCCCAAAATTTTAGTTACAATTTTAATTAGGAACTTAACAGAAGTGACTAACACTAAAGTTAGATTTGGTAATTTAAAAAGGATTAGGTATCATTTTTGGTAAAAAAAAAAAAGTTAGAACAATATTTAGTATTTATAATAAAATTTGAGTATTAAATATAGTTTTTACCAAAAAAATAGAGCTTTTGAAAACCATATCGAACATAATATTATTTTATGAAATGCATAATATAACTTCATAAAATCAAATATAACCCATGTATCATGGATGTGGTACATTAGGAAATTAATATCCTTCCTATTGCTGAGCTTTGGAGCTACCAACTAAATAAAAAGATATATTGTTATATGCAGATTAAAAAAAAAAAAAAGAAACAAAAATCAATTGTAAAATAGTTAACTTAAAGAAGAAAGCATAACAGGTTAGCATTTTCTCCTAACAACTAGAACGATTTTTGCAAGGATGTATCTAACAAAAGATTTCTTAGCAAAAGACTTCTTCACAAATTGTTAAGATATGTACTTTCTATTACTTCAGAGAATTTAAAAGAAAATGCATAATTCAAAGAAAAGACATATGGTATACACGAAAGTTTATTAATTAATAAATTAGCTAGTGATGAAGTTAGCAAGGCATATATTAAAATCAAGCTTTTGGAGAACAAGAAACGAATGTGAACAAAAATATATAAGGATTAAAAAATTATACCAATTCGACTAGAAATTGGACTTCTTCTTTCTTGAAGGTTTGAGAATAGAAAATGTAAACTTTACCAAAATGATGCAATCTGCAAAAAAATAATGCAATATGAGATAATCAGTGGTACATACTAAACTATATAAAAATTGGAAGGCTGAAAAGCATGTTGGGAACGCAAAAAAGGACTGAACCTTTCGTGAAGTCATTTGAACGTGAAGCTCATCAATTGCACAAGAAAATATGGGAATGGAGAAAAAAAAGGCAGTAAAAGAAAACAAGGGGAGAAGGAAGACAGAGAAAGAAAACAAGTGGGAAAAAAATATCTAAGTGGGAACAGCGTTTTAGGTTTGAATGGTCCAAATGGAGAAGGAAATAGGAAGGCAGAACGAAAGCAGGGTCAGTAGAAACAGCTGTTTAGACTTTCATGCCTTGGTTTTTGTTTTTTTTGTGGACCAAACTGTCATGCCTTGTTTTTTTTTGGGTTTAACTGTCATGCCTTGTTTGATTGAAAGGAATACTAGCATAAAGATTTTCTAATGAGAGAACGATTTAAAAACTATTATATTACTTTATTGTATAATTAAGGGTAATCTAAATTTAAAATTTATAAAACTTTAACATTTTCTAATTTGACGATACAAAAGATATAATATTTTGTGATTTATATTCAATTATATAATTTAAATTATTAAATGTAAGATAAATTTCGAAGTATTAAAAATTATTCTTCTATCCAAGAATTTTTGTTTCCCTAAACCTGTAACTGGGTCCGTTGCCGCATCACTGGACTTGAATATAATCCACCACCTCTTTTCTGTATAGCAGTGACTGGACCGGTAATTGACCCCACTGCACTGCATAGTCTGCATTTGACCCCACTGCACTGCATTATTCGACTTGGGCAACAATTCACAACCTTTGTCCTGTATAACAATAATCTTGTCTTTCTATTGCCTGTTTTCAAAATAAATAAATAAATAAATAAAACAAAACAAAAATCTTGTCTTATTGCTTTTGCTTTTTTGTTTCATTTTTTTCCAAAAGATAAAATTGCCTTTTGCTTTTGGGATCCAAAATGCTAGTATTACCGTGTTAGTCAAGTTTGGCTTCCTCTATGTTTGATTAATTTGATTTGAGTTTTGTGTACTTAAAATTATTAAACTATTTAATTATCAAAACTACACAGCAAGAGTCATCAATCCAATAATTTAATATGTATCATGGCATCCTTCATCCTGCAACATGTCACTTGCACAAACAAATTAATGTGGATTGCTTTGCTTATTATCTTAATCTCTAAAATGTAGCAATGAATTTGATTAGAAAATCAGTATATATTACGTGAAAAACTATAGTGCTTATATTCAATTTAACTGGCATGGCTA